TACACTGCTAAATTAGATACGGCTAGCGCAGATAGCCCTCGTGTAGCTTTGCGCGAAATTCATAACAAAGCAACAAAGAAGCAAGTAATAGTCTACATATTGTAAAAATATGACAAGATTAAGATATGAATTAACTACATTTATTATTATTATCACTTATAATTCAACCACGTGTTAACGAATTAATGTTTCAGTTTTCGTCTCTGGAGCCAACTGAAGCCTTCAGTCATTACAACATACAAGGTTTTGTTTAAGATGGAGTAATATAAGATGAGATGACAAAAAACCATGTTACAGTATATTTTATTGGAGCTCGTCTGAATTCCAATTGAACGGCAATCTAACAAGTTATATGAAAAACGCCCTTGCCGAGTTTGTAATAAGCACACCAGGTGTCCACAGCAACGGAGATATTAATGTTGGTCTTTGAGTAGTTTATTAATTCAAGATATAAAGCCGTGTCTTATATATGTATATCTACTTTATAACCAGGCCATTTTTTCATTTTAGAGGGGCAGGAATTACAGAATGGAAAATTAATAATTATAAAGAGGGCACAAAAGGAGACTGGTACCGGAATATGACATCTGTGAATTAGTTTCAGCTTAAAAAAAAAACTGTCTTATTATAATGTTGGCCAAGGCAAACAGGTTAACGTTGGGCCAAAGTTACAAAGTGGATTCTTTCTTTTCTTGCACAACGTAATTAATCAGAGTTATTGAGTTATTTTGTTAAGAACAAAACAATTTTTTTTTAATACTTCTTTCGTCCATATTCTCGGAAAGTCGGCTTATTAACCGATAATAAAGTTATTCAACCTTCCGGCTGGAAGGATAATGTGTTCATGGAAGGATAATGTGTTCATGTAGTAAAAGTTCAAGCTGTGAGTAAAAGTAAAAACAATGCTTTAGGTCACGTTATTATTAAAATCGCATTTTTGCACAGATTAAAAACTTAACGTGTCATCGTGTGTAATAAGCCCCCCCCCCAGTGGCACAGCAGTATGTCTGCGGGCTTACAACGCTAGAATCCGGGTTTCTATACCCGTGGTGGGCAGAGCCACCTCAGTGGCACAGCGGTATATCTGCGGGCTTACAACGCTAGAATCCGGGTTTCTATACCCGTGGTGGGCAGAGCCCCCTCAGTGGCACAGCGGTATGTCTGCGGGCTTACAACGCCAGAATCCGGGTTTCTATACCCGTGGTGGGCAGAGCCACCTCAGTGGCACAGTGGAAAGTCTGCGGGCTTACAACGCTAGAATCCAGGGTTTCGATACCCGTGGTGGGCAGAGCACAGATAGCCCATTGTGTAGCTTTGTGCTTAATTACAAACAAACATATGTATTAAACAGTGGAGCTATGACCGTCAGTCTATATGTTCTGTTGTTTTGTTTTCCAGCGTAACAATATTTTTATTTTATACTCTCTTATGACAGAAATAGTTTAGGTGCCAGTTTTAATACCCATCTTCCTCCCGAGTAATCAAAAAACGTAGCAAAACCAAAACAGTGATCAGAGAAATAGTCTCGAGACCTTCTCAGGTCATCATGGGGTAAATTCTTGACCTGATGATGACCTAAGGAGGTCGAAACGTTGTTACTTGTTTTGTGTATTTAATAAAAGTTTTAATACCTATATCATCAGTTTCTACTATATATATACATGTATATTTACTTTAACAGAAAAACACGTTGGTTCAAGAAGTGTTAACATAAAACTACAGGATAATTGAATAAATAAGAGTTGTTTAAACATTTGTTTAACAACAAGTTCAAGGAAAAACACGTTGGTTCAAGAAGTGTTAACATAAAACTACAGGATAATTGAATAAATAAGAGTTGTTTAAACATTTGTTTAACAACAAGTTCAAGGAAAAACACGTTGGTTCAAGAAGTGTTAACATAAAACTACAGGATAATTGAATAAATAAGAGTTGTTTAAACATTTGTTTAACAACAAGTAAAAGCTTGGAATGGTCTATTCTTTCATTGGGTGGTGTGTCTGTGAGCCAGACTAGTTTCGGAGAATTCCACTCCTCATCAGTGACCCTGAACACTACCACCAATGAAAAACCACACCAAACCAGTTCGATAAAACTACAGGTTTTTTATCGTTTTGTATTAATTGGAATAAATACTTTAATCTTTTTATCAAAAGCAAAGTTATTTAGGGGGCAAACGTTGATTCTACGTTTACAATAAGCACTCATGATGGACACTGAAAAAAACCTTTTTTTCTATACTTTAGGTCAATATGAAGTTCAATGTATTCGATAGAAGATTCTGGCTGTTTTTTCGTGATGAGAGACGGTAGATTCTGGATTCCAGTAGCACTGGATGCACCGAAATGTTGTTGCTCTCCAACTCTCTTTTCCAGAGGATTCAGTATCACCCTCGGATTCTTCTGTCTAGAGGATTCAGTGTCGCTCTCCGACCTTTCGTCGAGAGGATTCAATGTAGCCCTCCGACATTCTTGTCTAGAGGATTCAGTGTCGCTCTTCGAATTTATGTCCACAGGATTCAATGTAGTCCTCCGACATTTTTGTCTAGAGGATTCAGTGTCGCTCTTCGACTTTTTGTCGAGACGATTCAATGTAGTTCTCCGACATTTTTGTCTAGAGGATTCAGTGTCGCTTTCCGACCTTTTGTCGAGAGGATTCAATGTAGCCCTCCGACATTTTTGTCTAGAGGATTCAGTGTCGCTCTCCGACTTTTTGTCGAGACGATTCAATGTAGCTCTCCGACATTTTTGTCTAGAGGATTCAGTGTCGCTCTTCGACTTTATGTCCACAGGATTCAATGTAGTCCTCCGACATTTTTGTCTAGAGGATTCAGTGTCGCTCTCCGACTTTATGTCCAAAGGATTCAATGTAATCCTCCGACATTTTTGTCCAAAGGATTCAATGTCGCCCTCCGACTCTTTTGTCCAGAAGATGCAATCACCCTCCAACTCTTGTTCAGAGGATTCAGTGTCGTCCTACGACTCTTTTTTTTTATACTTTTTTCAGTGGATTCGGCGTTGGAATCCATAACCACCCTTCTTTCATCGTGCAATTGAATGTTTTCAACTGAGAAGTCGAAGCAAAGCAAATATATTCTATACTTTATAGAGAAGGAAAAGAAGGAGTATACATACAAAAATTTATATTACAAAGGTTATGTTCATAGCAAGTAATCGAAATCGACGGATCTCAGACACGTTACACGAATGGGCTAATGTATAAGAAATTAGAACTATTTTTATACCAGATATTAGTAAGATCTGCCCATTAAAACTAAGCTAACACTAACTAAACTCAAAATATATCATGGCAATAAATAAACACATTTCAACAGCTTCTTACTTCTTTGAAACAAAGATTTCAACTAATGCCGGTTGTTGTTGTTTTTATGATAGAAAATAAAGTATTCCTGTAATTCTTACTCATTCACAGTGACTTATAATTCATTATAACCGAAGACAGTTATCGTGAGGCAGAAGAAAAAATGTTCTGCCTAAATTCGTGATATTTTCTATCATTTTTACATGTAGAGCTAGCCCTAACATGACTGGGATTATGATAATAGTTGGTAAAATAGAAGTTTTATATATCTATTAGCAGAGACCTGTAAAACATTTTTTGTCAAATTAGTATATTTCTTGCAATAGTAGTTCTTTAATTACGGGATTTCTAGAATAATACTAAAAAATACTAATCGCAGACACCGAAATCTGTGAGTCCGCTTGTCTTAGGCCTAACGCTAGTTAAGCCTTTTAAAAAAAAATACTAATCGCAGACACCGAAATCTGTAAGTCCACTTGTCCTAGGCCTAACGTTAGTTAAGCCTAAGTACGGCTTATATTCGATAAAGAGATAAATTAACACTGTAACCTGTGTACGTTTTATTTCTTTTAGTATAGTTAGAGCTAAACTTTACCGTACTTAATACTACCCATAAATAAACTTATAATGTTATTCTACGACCTTTTTAAAGACTTTGATAAGCTTTTAATATGTTGTTGTACAAAATGTCTACTAAAGTATATTTAGATCTGCCTTTTGTTTACATTCACTGAAATGAAATGCGCACGCATGCGCATTTAGACAATAATGTGATTGCGCATTTTCATGACAGACAAAAACTGAGTATTATTATTATAGCAGATTCAATTTCAAATTAGAAATTAAAATAGCCATACCATCCTGGATATTCTCTATATACCACGCTAAGATTACAGTAGACTAAAAAAACCGATAAGAAATAGATCAAGACATACTTTTAAAACATACTCTTCCCCAGCTCTCAATTGTTTCTTTGTCGTCACTTCACCAGTCGTAGAATTAATAAAGAATATGTCATTGGCTTTCTCTGATTCCAGACTATATGTAAGCTTTCCATTTGGACCCACATCTTGATCCATGCCGACAACCTGGTGGAATAAAAGGATATTCTTAGCAAAAATACACGAATCTCTGAAAGTAAACTCGAAACAACAACATCTATGATCTGTCTACCGTGGGGGAAACGATCCAAGGATTTGAGCGTTGTCAATTTGGGAGGAATGTGGGGGTAGGGGCAAAAGATATTACGAAGCTGCCTTTAATACTCGGTGTAAAAGGATTTCACGACTTATTTGTAAAATACTGTAGAAAAGGGGGACTTTTAGCGCTTTTAGAACGTTAAGAGTTGCCAGTAAATAAAATAAAACTTCAAATTATCTGAAACAAAACTAAATTCACGGACAAAAAATTAGTTATCACGAACTGTCACGAACAAGTTAAAACCTGTTCTTAAATACCCCATTATGATTTTGTGACGTTGGAATAGACTGATTCACGGAACGTTCTTTTTTTTTTTCAGTGTTTAAATTAACTGATCTTTCTCCAGTGAATATGGTATGATTTTATCAAAAACATGAACTCAACTTTAACTCTAAATTTAATTTGTTACATACTGATGCATCATCTTTATAATTTAAATGTTTCAATAATTGTAGAAGTCAGTGGACATTCTCGGTGACAAACGATGAGACGCACGTAAGTATCTACAAACCAGGAAAGAAATCGCTTATAAATCATTAAATACCTTCAAAGTTAATGCCATCATGAACTGTAAATCTGAAAATCTTGTAAAGTGTATAATACCGTATTCCAAGTGCCACGAAGGCCCGGCATGGCCAGGTGGTTATGGCGCTCGATTCGCAATATGAGGGTCGCGGGTTCGAATCTCTGTCACACCAAACATGCTCGCCCTCTCCTCTCAGCCGTGGGGGCGTTATAATTCCACTATTCGTTGGTAAAATAGTAGCCCAAGAGTTTGTGGTGGGTGGTTGAAGACTTCCCTCTAGTCCTACACTACTAAAATTGGGGGCAGCTAGCGGAGATAG